CTTTGGGCACTGAGGAGAGGGTGAGAAGGGTCTTAGGCCATCTGGCTGATGGAGGAGCTGAAGAGCAGCTGGAAAACCATTTAGCCATGTGTTTTCCTACATGCTTGAAAGTATTCCGTATGCATTTATGAAAACATCCTTTTGTTTTGCCTTAATTCTGAAGAAGTAGGAGGGGAGGTTGAGTAAATACTCCAAACTGTCCACTGAAGTAATAGGTCTTATTAGGTTAAATAACTTCATAGACTTTCTCTGGGCATCTGGTATTTGCAGCCATGTGATGCCAATAAACAAACCAACCAAGCAAGAGAACCATGGCAACTAAATGCAGTACATAATTGGCAGCATAGTCAGCACCCTGTTGGGCTCACTGGCAGCCAGGTTAGGTGGGAATAGTCAGTGGAAACTTCCATCAGGAGCCAAGACAGAGGGTAGCAGCTGAAAGAGAGGAGTCAATCAGTGGAGTCAGACATGTCAGGAGTCAAAAGAGGTGTAGACATCTGGACTGTTCTATAAAGATGGGGGCCTGAGCCCTGGCTCAGGAGTCCAGAGATCTGAGTTCTGATCCCAGCAATGCTACCAGATCACTGACTGACCTTGGGCAAGTCATCCTTGTCCCCCTATTCCTACCTCCCAGGCTTTGTTAACTAAAATAAGGACTGAACTTTGTGACCTCCACAGTCCTGTGTAAAGCCAACATAAAAACAAACAAAAAGCTTCAGGCACAAGATCAGAATAAATTCCAGGACTAGGAGTTCAAGGAAATGAATAGGACAACCATGGGTGGCAAGACGGGGTAGGGAAAGATAGGATCTCTGTCCCAGAGATCAGAGTTTACCATTGCTTTGGTAACCAGTTACTGCAAACTTAGTGGCTAAAACAACACAAATTTATTCTTTTATGATTATATTTCTGCAGATCAGAAGTCCAAAATGGGTTTTATTGGGCTAAAATCAATGTGCTGGCAGAGCTGCATTCCTTCTGGAGGCTCTGGGGGAGAATTGTTTCTTTGTCTTTTCCAGTTACTGGAAGCTGCCTACACTCATGGGCTCATGGCCCCTTCCTCCATCTTCAAAACCAGCTGAGTGGCATCCCAAGCTGTTCCTAACTCAGATTCTCCTGCATCCCTCTTATAAGGACCTTTGGGATTACATGGGATCCACCTGGACAGCCCAGAAAAATCTCATCTCAAGATCCTTAATCATAGATACACAGTCCCTTTTGCCATATAAAGTAGCATATTTCCAGGTCCCAGAGATTAGGACATGGACATCTCAGCAGGGGCACATTATTCTGCCTACTACACCCACCAAACAAAGCCCTCCCAACGGTGTCCTCCCTCTCAGAGAATGGCACCCTCCTCCACCCAGCTCCCCAAACCAGAACCTCATCAGCCATCCATGGCAACTGATGTCCTTCATTCTCTACCCCATATCCAATCCATCTTCAAGTTCCAATTATTTTATCTTCTAAATAGATCACTAATATATTCTCTCCTCATCATCTCATCATAATCTCAGTCACCACTGTCTCTCCTGGAGCCAAATCTGTTCTCACAATTGTTCTCCACTCGGTTTCCTCCCAGATCATCCTCCACAAATGCAGCCAGAGATTTTAAAACCAAAATCTGGTCCATGTTGCACCCTGATGAAAATTCTTTAATGGCTTCCAGATACTCTTAGGCTAAAGGGAAAACTCAGAGGCTTACAAAGCCCTGCATGATGGGACTCTCAGAATGCCTTCAGCTTCACTTTCTGCTCCTTCCTTTCACATACTAAGCTCCACCTCCCCACTGGCTGTCAGTTCTCTGAAAAGACCACATTTTCTGGCACCTCAGGGCCTTTGTGCATACTACTCTCACTTTTTAGAATGTCTTTGGCCATCCCTTTGCCTCTCTGCCTTTGGACCTCAGTTAAAGGATTAATTCCTCAGAAAAGAATTCCCCAACTTACCTCCTATTGGACTAGATTCCCCTGTCAAATACTCTTCAGAGTATTCTTTTCTTTTCTGTCATAATGTTTACCATAGGTTTAAATTGAATGTTTTCGGATCACGAGGTCAGGAGATCGAGACCATCCTGGTTAACACGGTGAAACCCCGTCTCTACTAAAAAAAATACAAAAAAACTAGCCAGACGAGGTGGCGGGCGCCTGTAGTCCCAGCTACTCGGGAGGCTGAGGCAGGAGAATGGCGTAAACCCGGGAGGGGGAGCTTGCAGTGAGCTGAGATCCGGCCACTGCACTCCAGCCTGGGCGACAGAGCAAGACTCCATCTCAAAAAAAAAATAAAATAAAATAAAAATGAATAAATAAATGGAATGTTTGTGTGATCATTTGTTTAAAATCTGTCTTTCCTACTATAAAAACTTATAAAGTTATAGAACTATAAAAATGTTCGACTTTTTATAAACTCTATGAAGGCAGGGAGTGGGTGTATCTATTTTACTTCTTTATGCACCATTGCAATTCTGATGCCTAGGATAATATAGGCACTCGATATTCATTGAATAAATAAAGGAATGAATACAAGGTGGAGGTGTAGTTTAAAGAAGTGGTTTAAAAGTCATGATCTAGAGGCAGACATATTAAACTTTAAATCATGATGCTGTGCGATTTTAGGCAAGATATTTAAACTCTCTGAGGCTCAGTTTCCTCAGCTATAAAATGAAGATCTTAATATCTACCTTAAAAACGTGTGAGGATTAAGGTAGGGACTTACAGTACTTGAATGTATCAAGGGAAACAGTACAGGAAAGCCCTATTATAATTATGGTCACCAGTGCAAACAAATGGTGGCTGAGCTCCATGAGTGCTGTGACTTCCTTCTCCTGCTTCTAGGATGCCTAATGGCGAGAAGCCAATCCCATGACACTTGTGGATGGCTCAGAAATGACAGTAGTTGATTTCTGTCACTTGTCTGGAATGGGTCTTTTGGTCATAGATTCTCAAGATTTCAAAGACATCAAGATCACCAAGGAGCACATGTTAAAGTCCAGATTCCCAAGTTTCACCTCCAGAGCTCAGATTCATTGAGGCTGAGGTGATATTTGGAAATCTGCCTCTTAGTAAGACCCTAGGTGATTCTGATGCAGAGACTCCAAGGACTACACTTTGGAAATTCTAGTACAGTCATCCCTTGGCATCCACATGGAATTGGTTCCAGGACTACTTAGATACCAAAATTTGCAGATGCTCAAGTCCCTTATATAAAATGTCATAGTATTTGCAATAACCTATGCACATGCTCTCATATACTTTAAATCATCTCTAAATTAGTTATAACACTGAATGCAATGTATATACTATATAAATTGCTATTATGTTATAGTTTTATTTGTATTGTTTTTATTGTTGTGTTATTTTTATTGTTGTTTTTAAAATATTTTTGATCCAAAATTGGTTGACTCCATGGATGTGTAACCATGAATATGAACCATGGTCATGGAGGGCTGACTATATATAATTCCTTGAATTCTGACTCAGCCATCAACTTTTTCCCTAACTCCCCAGACAGAATCTGTGCTTCATCCTCTCTTCTTCTGTAGTATTTTGCCCATATCTCAGCAGCCACTCCTATCATACATCTATCTCCAAATTAGCTTGTGAGGTCCTCAGGACAGGGACTGTATTTGATCCACGTTGCCAGAAACTTTCTAACACAGTGCCTGACACGTAGAAAGTAAAACCTCATTCTTGATTTCTGCACCCATAACCTCCTGTCCCTGCTGTGTTCTCCCATTGCAGTAACTAATAACATCATTTACCCAGTTGTTCTGATAAAACACCTTGAGGTCATCCTTGACTTCTGTCTCTCACAAGCCACATGCAATCCATCAGCAAGTCTCGTTTGTCTTACCTACACAAATGTCCAGAATCCAACCACTACTCATCACGTCCTGCTACATGTGCTGGCCCAGTACACTGCAGTCTCTTTCCTATTCTGCCTAAGCTCTCTGCTTCCATTCTTGTCCCTACACAGACTATTCTCTACACAGCAGCTATGATGAACTTTTTGTTTTAGGATGAACTTTTAATACACGTTATACTATGTCTCTGCTGTACAAAGTGGTTTTTCATTTCACTTAGAAATGCTCCATTTCACTTAGACGAGGCATGGTGGCTCGTGCCTGTAATCCCAGCACTTTGGGAGGCTGAGACAGGTGGATCACCTGAAGTCAGGAGTTCGAGACCAGCCTGGCCAACATGGTGAAAAGTCATCTCTACTAAAAATACAAAAATTAGTTGGGTATGGTGGTGCATGCCTGTAATCCCAGCTACTTGGGAGGCTGAGGTAGGAGAATTGGTTGAACCCAGGAGGTGGAGGTTGCAGTGGGTCCTGAGATTATACCACTGCACTCCAGCCTAGGAGACACAGCGAGACTCCATCTCAAAAAAAAAAAAAAGCTCCAGTGATGTCCCATTTTACTTAGAAGAAAATTCGAGTTCTTACCATAGCCCATAGGGCCTCCCTTGTTCTGCACACCCACCATCCACCTCATCTCTTCTTTCTTCCCATACTGTTTTTCTTACTGTTCCTTAGATACATCAAGCCTACTCCTGCCTCAGAGCCAGAGAGCTGCGTGATTTGGTTCCTCAATTCATCTAGGTCTCTGAGCACTCCCACGTCAGAGAAATCTAAAGTAACTACTCTGTCGCATCACCCTCTGTAATTGAAATGAACATCTTTCTTAAGCAAAGACAGTTATCTCTAAGGAATGACAGTGGGTCAAAGTGGGCGGGACTTGGTCAGAACTATTTCTCCTGCTCTGTTGACTTCTTTTAGGTCCAGGACAAGTGTTTCTACCATTCTGTTTGATCTGCGTACATGTAATGTTGAGTTAATGAGCTGCTAAAACCTTCTAGATTGAAGATAAGCCGGTCAGCCTCAGGACCAGGAGGAATGGTAGCAATCACTTTTGGTATCATCTGTTTGCTTTTCTTGCTTAGCAACTCTGCCTTTGGTGACCCTGAACACAGACATAGTTTAAATATTTGTTTTCACAGGACTTCTTGGGCCTACTTTATATGCTGAAGTCGGAGACACCATAAAAGTTCACTTTAAGAATAAGGCAGATAAGCCCTTAAGCATCCATCCTCAAGGAATTAGGTACAGTAAATTATCAGAAGGTAAGATAAATTTAATATTTTTCTGAAAAGGGAAAATGTCTAACAGCATCAACATTTAAAACTATATTGTTAACCACGTGCTGTTAGGGAAATCTCTTGCAACTGGTAATTATAAAAATTGTTGCTGTTGTAAGTTTCGAGAGAAGACAAGGAAAAGGTTTTGGAGTCCCCTAGACCTGCATTTTCCACTGGGTTCTTACTCTTTAATATTTGGGAGGGCAAGTTATCTAATTTCTCTGAATTCTCATATGTTCATCTTAAAATAGGAATAATAATACATACATTGAAAGATGGTTTAAGGCGGGGGTCAGTAAATTTTTCTGTAAAGGGCCAGATAGTAAGTTTGTTTGGCTTTGCAGGCCGTAAGATCTCTGTTGCAAGTACTCAACTCTGCCTTTTAGTACAAAAGCAGCCATAGACGATACTTTCTTTTTATGGCTTTGGTTACAGATGCCAGAACTAATTAACTTTATTACCTTATTCTTTCCCTCAAGTCATATACCAGAGTAAAACTGCCTCTGACAATACAATTTTATTTACAAAAACAGGCAACTGGTTGGAATTGGCCCATGAGCCACTGACACAGTGACATAGAACTAGCCTGATATAGGCTTCCTGGCACATAGATGACACTCAGTAAGTGGTATTTGGTGGTGGTGAGACTAGAAGTATTAATAGTATTAGACTTTTGGACATACTGAAGTGGTTAAGAAAGTAAGCTTCAAAGGCAGACAAGTTAAAATTCTAGCTTTATCATTTCTGATTCTATGACTTTAGCAGCTCTGAGCCTCAGTTTTCTCATCTATAAAATAGAAATGATTATAACCACCCATAAGATTGCCTGAAATTTAAATGAGATCACTTAGGTAGAGAACTAAACATGGCTCCTGGGATCTGATAAGCTCTCAATAAATAATGATGACAATGATGGCAATGATCATAAAGACAATAGCGATGCAAGTTATTGTATCAGCTGCTGAATAGTAAGTACCTGATGTTAATATGGTTCTAATTATCCCATTATGCTGATGTTTGGATCATTGTAAGCATTGTAGAGTTCCATCCGACACTGGTATGAAAAACTGTATGCAAATTGTAATAGTTGTTGGTATAATAACATTTTAAAATAATTTCAGACTTTTCATGTTTCACAAATGTCTTTCCTTCTCCCACATGTTCCAGCCATCATACCTTTGAGAGAAGAATTGAGTAGGAGAGTGGTTTACGTGCAGGTTTTAGAACTAGACTAATAAGTGCAAATCCTGGCTCAGTGACTTTTATAAAGTTATTTAACCTCTGTGTGCCTCATCTTTCTCATCTGTAAAATGGGAATAATAATCATCTCTGTCATACAACTTTGTTGTCATGAAATCTTAGAATAATGACTAGCATATAACAGACAATAAATATTAGCTATGATAATAAAGATATTTCTTCAATTAAAATGTGTTCAAATAATTTAGTATTTATCTGAAAACTCGTTAGTTTCAGAAAAAAAATCAGAAAGTAATTTTTAAATTTATTAATTTCTATATAAACTGTTGTCAAACTCATTCCCACTAAGGTATAAGTGACTGATAATAGGTCAATGAACTACCTTCCTTAGGAGTACTTGCATTAGCACTTAATCTTTGGCTTGAGGAAAAACAATGAAGCATTAACTGTGGCATTGAGATTTCTTTCAAAGTGAATTTGGCAAGACTCTGGGTGAGGTAGTGTGCACAGGAGTTTCTCCTATGTTCTTAAAATCACACAATGACATACATGAAATCAGTCATGCAGTGACATAGTGAACAACCACCTCACCTACTTATGAGGCTTCCAGATGACTGCATCAGGAGTTCAGCAATGTAAAGAAGAAGGGGGAGAAACCTCAAAATATCAAAATGTCACATGCAGTTTTCATTTCAAATAAGGGAGGAGGTAAGAATTGTAGACTTTGTACCCTACCTGCGCTGTTTGCACAGTGAACGAACCTTGCAACATTATCCCTCTTCCTTTACTGTTTGTTTGTCCCTATATTCCCCATAGCCAGCAATTATTTATGAGCAATTGTTTAAAATACTCCCATAACTTTAACTGGAGACATGATTATTGGTGTATATTGCCTCTGGTCCTATGAATCTAAGAAAGGTAAATACATATCAGTGGGGAAAGTAAAATTTTACCTTGGAAATGAGATGTAAATCTAATAAACACATAGTATCTTTTATGGTAAGAGACAAGCCTTCTAAGTTGATTTTATTATGCCCTCTGCATTAAAATAAAGCATCTCCTTCTCCATGTCTGACACTCAGCCTCACCTATAGCCTCCCTCTGTGGTTTGAGCTACTTTTTTTAGGAGTGGGGATAAACTAACTGCATGCTGAGCCAGTTACATGAGAATTCAGATTCCTCTATCTCAGAGGTAGATATTTGAGAGATGGGTGGTAGTGAGGGGTTAAGATAGTATCACATTGGCTTGAGAAACCACAACAGAACATAAGACAACTCTGGATAACCCTTTTTGACAGAATGGACAAACGGTGATTTGTAAAAATGCTTATAAGGACATTTCCTTTAATAATGTATTTAATAAGACTGTTTTAGATTGGGGAATAAAATATCTGCAACTGTAACTAATCACTTAAAAACTATCACTAAAGGGTTTCAATTTGAGGTTACATTTTCAGAAACTCTATAACTAGCATGCAACAAATTGACTCTAATGCTGCACCTTTGAGCAAAGTTTGTTGTTCAGTAAAATTTTCAAAATTGTTTTGGTCAATTACCTTTAAAAAGCTTGTTTCATAGAGAATTTAATATTATTATTTTCTTTTAGTTATATTCTCATATTTTAAATGTATGAGTTGCATATGAATGTCATGTCACAAAATTAGTTCTATAATAGGTGACCATCTGCTGATAAGCCAGCTCTCCATCTGCCAGACATTGTTCCTTGTATCTAAGTGTTGCCAAATTCTCTATACAAAAATTCACTCTTCTAGGTTGTTCCAAAACATTCCAATGCTCGACTTAATGTAGGTGATTACATTTTTTCACTTTTCATCTGAATATTTTGGCCTTATGTAGATACTTCCTTGAGTATATGATAAACACCTGAAACAAACTATAATGGCTATGGTTTGTATATTTAATAAATCACAAAAATGTGGATCCCTTTTCCAAAGAGACTTGCAAGTCCTGTGCAATGAAATCAGCTCTTTATAAAACATCAGCATTGATTTGCCCATTGCCTACATTATAGCTTCTAAAAGAATGTTCTGAATCTTTGAATGCATTGAAGCATTCACTAAGTTTATTAACTTAGGAGAGGAAGAGTTGTTCACAAAATAAATAACAAGGGAGAAGTTACTGAGTGAGCACCCTAATGGGTAACCAAAAAGGCTCTTTATGTAACTTCACTTTTCCAAAGCTTGTATGCACCATTTTTCATTTTAAAAAAATACTGGGAGCCTTTGGCAAGTAATTAGTACATCATGACGAGTAAATGCAATATAAAGCTGACTATCGACTGAGCAGGAAATGAACAGAACTGAGTAAATATAAAGGAAGAGCTTCCCTTGTGTAAAGATTTTATTCTAGCAAGCAGCTGAACAAGGACTTTCTGTGCTCTAGCACAATAGTTGTCCCTGTCCATTTCTCTTTTCAGTTTAGAGCTTTACTTTTTAAATTTTGATTACAAAGTCAAAATCACATTCACCAAAACTGCATCTCACAAACGCTTCCTCTAAATAGCTGTTTGTATTTTATACTTTATATTAATGTATGTTGCAAAATTAAAGATACAACAAACCTGTTTTATTCTAGGCTAAAGGTAAACTAATTTGAAGTTAAAAGAACAAAAGCATTGAAAAAATTATACCCCAATGATCTCATTAGCAGTTCTCACTCAGTGTAATTACAGAATATATCCTATGTGCAAGTCTATATTGTTCACTATTTGATTCAAGATGCTCATAAGTCAACTTTTGGTAGTATACTAAATTAACATCATTCATTTAATTATTTGAAATTAATCTTATATTTAACTGACAAGTGAATGTGAAATTCTGAGTAATTTAGTTTGGTCAATTAGACAGACATTAATTTGTGTGACTAGAGTAACCTCTCATTATCTACCTCAAAATATCATGTACACAAATATATACAATAATTTTTTAAGCCCAGTATGTGTTAAAATAAATCTAGGTGTGAAACACTGATCGTTTATAAACAGGTTCAATATTGTTAGAAAATCAGTTACCCTGCTATACCTAGCACAAATGTTATAGCTTCTTAGGCAATTTTTAGATACTTACATTGGTTGGTTCTCATTCCAGATTGACAGTGTGTTCTAATTGTAGCCCTAGAAGAAATCTAGAGGTCAAACCTATCACAATTAGGGCACCAACATGTACCCTAGAGTTAACTAGGATGAGCCCCTCAGGGGCCCAGGCCCTGTCTTCTTTACATTTTTACTCTGGCATTTAGCACAGAGCCTGGAACCTAGTGGATGCTGATGGTCAAATCATGATGATATTAATCATTACTGAACTAAACTGAGGGACTGAGGACTGATTAGAAAGTAGGGACTATGCATTATTTTCCACTTGCTTAAAAATTATTGATTTTGCTGATAATTTTGAGTAGGTACCTTGTCTTACTTATTACCAAAAAAAAAAAGTGTTTTTACCAAAAAAGTCTTACTTACTTTTATCACCTTTGGAATAAATATATCACGGCAATGGACTGGATGTTTGTGTCCTCCCAAAACTGATGTGTTGAAATCTAACCCCCAGTGTGATGGCATTAGGAGGTGGGGCCTTTGGGAGATTTTTAGGTAATGAAAATGGAGCCCTCATGATGAGATTAGTGCCCTTATAAAAGGGACCCTCTCACTCACCCTCTTTCTACCATGTGAGGACACAAGGAGAAGATGGCAGTCTACAACCTGGAAGAGACCCTGCGCCAGAGCCCAACCATGCTGGCACCCTGATTTTAAACTTCCAGCCTCCAGA